ACAAAACCGACCAGCAGCTCTGCAATGGCATCAGTTTGAGGACATATGAGCCACACAACTTACCCAAGTTGCAAACCCCTCATTCAGCCATAAATGTGTCCACCACTCCATAGTAACAAGATTGCCAAACCACTGGTGAGCTAGTTCGTGAGCTACAACAGTTGCAACCTTGATAGTAACCAAAAAAAGTATTTTTTGCCCTTTTAGTGATAAAATAAGCAGTTTTAAGAATTGAAATAAGGAAACTCAAAGTAAACAAGACTAAAGCAAACTTCAACGATAAGCATACCCTCTGTTTGTTCGCAGCAGCAGAATGCTGGTCATCATATAGCAAAGCAGTCTCCCGATATGTAACCAAACCATAATTCTCCATGGCTCCAGCAGCAAAATCAGGGATCGCAATCATATCCAATTTTGGCAGAGTGTAAGGAGTAGCAAAGTAACTGTTAAATTATCATAGTTAAGTAATGAATGATAAAACTGCAGTATACATACACAAATATTCAAGCAAATAGACTAGCATGAAGATTAGCATGTATTAGCCACTTATGTTGACAATGCAAACTGATAAATCAAGGATGACAATCATTGACGGTCAATACATGGAAGCAGAAGAAAGATGGATGAACAATCACTAAAAAGGTTTGATCACTACACCTGCAAGGCTAGAAGGTTTGATCAATAAGGATTTTCTTTCCCATAAATATCTGGGCTCGGATTGTTGATCTTTACCTCAGAAGACAGATGTATCATAAACTTGTAGGGAGAGGATACTAAACTAAACTTTCACTAGAACCTACATGGCAGTATGATGTCTGAGTCCAAGCCTCACCCCTCAGAAGTCACAAGTTGAAATGCAGAGCAAGATCAGGTTAATTGTGGCTGCCAATAACTAAAGACGAGGGAAGTACTTTTGTCAACAGTGAGATGTAAGCACAACAGCTCTCATCTGCCGTGTTGTTAAGTAGTTACCTATGTCTTCATTCAATTTATTTCCCTTCTTTTCTGTCAAACTACTTGATTAAATGGTTGTCAACTTATCTAATAATGATAATGATTTGCATCCATGAGATGGAAATTGAAAAAGTTCCATACTTTTTGTATAGTTCCAGAGTTTTCACGGCTACATCAAGTGCAAATTGCCCCTGGTTTGCCTTACCAACTTGACAATACACTCGGACTTTGACCCCTGTACAGATGTTGAATTCAATTAAGAGCAGGAAGATCAGCACTAATAAACAACCAATACCTAAAATGTACAGAGCAAACATGCTTATACCATCGGAGGTGTTCTCTTCCACATAATCAAACAAACCAACGACAACAGCAACCAAATATGTAGACATGATTGGTGATTCTTGATATGAAACTGTTTTTAGACTTCCATCTGTTATTTCTTCAAGAACTGGCATGTTGGAAAGAGCAACAAGCTCTGAGGGCACATCCAATGTGATCCTGAAAGTAGCCTGCAAGATCAAACAAACAGATGAAAAAATAAGTGTTACCATTAGTAAAAACAAGTTGAATACCAAATTCCATCCAGACGTGTTCCATCCTTGTAGCCCTTACCACCCAAGACATGAAATCAAAAGAGGGTTATTATTTAAGTACTAAGTTTGCACCGTTGCAACAATAAATATTTTAGCCTTGTGTGTGAGTGCTGACAGAAGGTTCATTTAGAAGGGAACAGAAGGAGACATGTAATCAAACCTTGCAAGCAGGTTCATCCCAACAAGGAAAGCATCGCCTGGCATCAGCTGGTTCAAACTGTGTAACTGCCATAGTCTTCTTCTCACCATTATATTCATAGGTACTGCACATGAAAAATATCCATATAAATTTATTTAAAAACAAGAACTGGAGTTAGCCATCCATCTACTTCCTCAGAAAGATAGTAAGGCAATATAGGATCCTGTTTGGATAAAATTTTTCATAAATATTTATACAATAAAAAAAATGATAAAATCATTTCAGTTTCTTCCGTAACTTATAATATCTTATGCATTACAGCTTTTTTAAAAGTTACATGAAAGAGTTTACAAAAGTTAAGTACAAAAGTTAATTTTAGATCATGTGAGAAGTTCATTTCATTTTACCTCTTATTTTCTTCTTTTACAAGTGTTAGCGAAGAACCAGGAATATGTTATGCATTGGTTTGAATTTTGGGGGAAATTGTTTTAAGTAAATTATCCTGACAACCCTCATATTTTTTAAGATTGCACGCGGTACCGTACTTTTTCTAAGGTTTACAACAACTTCCCTATAGTTACACAGTGTATGTTTTTTAAATAATTGAGCAAATTAGTGTAATGTATAAAGAGTTTCATAGTAATATTTTTCAAAACCATAAAGTTGTTAGTTTATTGTGTGTAGTCCGATAAAATCTCAGGTGTCAAAGTAATTTAGTCAAACATTTTTAGACACCAATACGGTTTTAAAATCAGCAACCTACACAAAACTTATAGCTAAGAAAATGAGTAATAGAGAATCATGATCAAAATGCAGCCTCAACCAGATTTCAGGTAAAACCTTTAGCTTGTATAATATCAAGCAAAACAGACCAAAATAACACTTACCTTCTGTAGAACCCTTTCATTCTATCATTCAAGATTCCTTCAAACTGAATAGTCAATACACCTAACCCAATGGGTATTTTCTCTGGGAACTCCAATACCAGAATCTCATCATTTTCAAACAACTCAACTCGCGAAGGCTTAAGAACCTGCACAGACAACATCCAGTGGTTCTACATCAGCAACAACACTCCACAAATAGGGACACAACATAATACGAGGTTGTCAGAAATGGATGAAATAGCTTCATAGTTATGAATCTACAATGTTCCAGAGAAATAAATATTTATAACAAGGTGTCAAGAGGAGGAGATAATAGAGAGAACCGCGGAGGAATCGCCTTTGGTAAATGAAACGGCATCGGAGGCGACGGAGAGTTCGGCGGCATTGAGAACGATGAAAGAGGTGGCGGCGACGATGTCGAGGTTGATGGCAACGGAACCTGCGAAACGGTGCTCGACGAGGTCGGGCTTGAGCCTAATGTCGTAGCGTTTAGGAACGGCGAATTTTGGAAGACGAGGTTGTCCTTTGAACTGATCCATCTCTTTCTTCTGTTGTCGTGTCACAAATCCACACAGAAACTGACGATGCTGAAAGCAAAGACCGAGGTGAGATGGGTATTTATAGAGATTGCTCACTCTTCTGTTGAAATGAAAATAAAAATAAAAAAAAATCCAATGAAGCTAAATTTATCCATAGCTACACCACTTCAAACTGTTATGGATCTGATTATTTTACTGAATTAAATATGTTTTAATGCATTAAATTTTGGGTAAAATGTAAGTAAGTTGAAATATTTTACAACAGGTAGTTTTCCTTTGTCAAAAATTAATTGGGTTTTAATTTTTTATATTTATCAAAAGTAGGTGTACATCAAAATTAAGTTCTAATTCTTTTGACATAAGACCAATTGCTCAATAAATAAATGAAGGATAGACTTTTAAAGAATTTGGCTTTTGTAAAGTTTAAGACATCCCAGAAGCACTTATTACTTGTAATTAGTGTACGTCTTATATAAGTTAGTTAAATCTGGACAATGGTACTTATATAAATAATTTTTCTAATTTTAGTTTTAAATAATTTTATATTAAAATAATATTTTTATTTTTAAATAATTAAAATTAGAGAAAATTACTTATATAAATAATTTTTTTCTGATTTAAAAAAATTTAAAGTATTTCAATCCAAATTGTATATTATATATTTAAGACGGAAAATAAAATAACTCATTTTATTAATAACTTCGGTAAAATAAAATAATATAAAAAATATTATAACATGTTACATTATTTAAAACATTTTTTTTAACAATATTATTTTTGCTATTATATATATCATCAAATTTTTTTAGAAGATACGTTCTTTTTACACTGTAAAGAGTTAATGATTTTACTTATTCCTCTTAATTTGAAATAAATAAAAATTTAGAAGGATAAAAAAAGAAATAAGAGTTTTTATAAATTAGTTCCAACAACTTATAAAAATAAGTTAAAAGAGTAAAATATGTTTTTAATTACTATAAAATTAATGAACTTTTATTTTAGTATATGTACGTTACTTTTTCAACAAAATTAAAATATATGTGTTTAACAAAACATTAACACAGTCATTACAAGTAATAATAGTTAGGTTTTTTGCTACAATTTTAATATGCGATATTTTTAATTTTTCTTGTTATGAATTTCTAAAATAAATGCTAAAAAATATTGATTTAAGATCTTGAAATAATGAAATAAAAATGTTCTACGACCATTGAAACTATAATTTGTTTATTTTAGAGAGATTTAAAGGAATTATTTTAAATTAAAAAATTATATAAAACAAAACCAAAACATATTTATTTTAAAGAAACTAAAAACATATTTATATCATAAAAACTACTAAAATAAACTTACACAACGAAAAAGACTATTAACCCTAATTGTTTTTTAAATAACTCTTAAGGTATTTACCATCAACGTTAACACATTTTTTATCCATATTATTTTATCAATAGATAACAGAAGAATTTCATATTAATTTTTATTACTTGATAGCGACATATTTCTCTATATATTATTTATTTTTTAAATAAATATGTATTGTTGTATGCATTTCTTATTTATTAAATGAGTTTGATTATCATTAACAGTAATAACTACAATAATATTTTATTCTTAAATTTTTCATTAATTTTTGTCTGTGGGTTAATCCAAACGAAGTGAGCTCTTGGATTTAAATTTAAAATCTTTAATCTCGAAAAAAAAAAAGTAAATTAAACATCTTAAACAATTGCAGAAGTTTCTTTATTTTTTATGTCCAGAAAAATGTGGCAGAAGGTTGAGACACGAGACGTGAAGCAGTGTTAATCAGTATGACACTGACTATCGAACACTGATAATAGATGTCGAGCCGTTGTTGAATCTGAAAGCTTGGTCCTTCCATGAGATGAGAGAGAAGAAAGCCTCCAAATCTTCATCTTCGACCTCTCCTTGTGCCCCACTTCGCGACGCATACCACAATTGCTTCAACAGGTATCATTTCTAAACCTTTTTCCCCAATTTGTTTCTTCCTGTGGTTTCCCTCAAACCCTAATTCCATTTCGAAGGTGGTACGCCGAGAAATTCATGAAGGGTCACTGGGACAAACAAGAATGTGTTTCTGAATGGCGAGAATACCGAGCTTGCCTTTCTGTAGGTCCTTACTTACACGCTTTTGACCTATGCAATGTTTCGTGAAATTTAGCTGTAACTTTTGGCAGGAACATTTGGAAGATAAGCATCTGATTCGTTTCTTACAAGCTGAAGGCATTGTTCAAGACAGTGGTGTTACTTCTCGGTAACTTGTGGGGAGTAAGGTGATTCAGATGTCAATTAACGTCATTGCCTAACTTTTAGTTGTGTTGCTATGCTGTTTAAAAAAGTTCTATTATATATAATTTATATGTTGTTTAAGTAATAATATAAACTATGGCTATACGGAATAGGTTAAGAACGAACCAATGCAATGGCCATTGCATTCTTCGTAGGATGTCAAGTGACAGGATTAGTTGCTGCTGGACTTTTATGTTATGTGAAGTAGGTTTATTGTTGTTGTACCCATTTGAGGTGTTCATGGAGTTGGATGTCCATGCCTAGGCTTCAGGCAAGATTGAGTCACTAATCAGTAATGTTGCATTGGTCTTTTCTCGTTTTGCTGCTTCATCTAGTTCAATGGCATCGAGTTCATCTCTTACCGGTTACAAGTTTCTTGATCTTGAACTCATAAATGTAGTCACAAAAATACACTCTCCTACGTGGTTGGGGCCACACTCTATCATATCATGGGTATAACTTCATGACTATGAAGCTAAATCATAGATTAAAGCAGGGGTAATGCAATTAGGGGGAAGCAAAGACTTCCTCCAAAGAAAAGAAACCATAAACAGTAAAGCAGGAAAGCTCAGCTACATGGCAATTCCCTCGAAACAGCCATGCACCCTTGAAGTTGTCAGCATTGTGCTTCAATTAAATACTTTTAAAAATAGCTAAATATATGGATCGAAGCTCATCATTTTTTTGTATTATGATCTCTCTCTCTCTCTCTCTCTCTCTCTCTCTCTCTCTGTATATTTGTTCATCAGCTGTGCATAATCCATACAGGGATTTTATTCATGTCTTTTTATCATTAACTTTATCATGGAATCTAGAGCCTAAACCTTAACCGATGTCTTCCTGGTGGAGCCATTGTCCATTAGTACTAAATTTTTCCATAAATCATGTATCATTCCAATTTACGGTCTTCTTCATTGTAGTGTTGTTCCTCCGCGGCCGCAGCTGTATAATCATCCTTCTGTTATTGGAAATTTTAGGTCTTTATTAGATAATGGGTAGTTTAGAATTTCGAGATTTGTTTCCAATTATAAATAACTTGATTTTTAAAAATGAAATTAATTTCCTTTTTGTTACTCTGATTGTCCTCTTGCTATTTTGTGGATCAGTTGCTAAATCCGCCCAATTTCCTCTTCATGTATGGCTACTCAATGAGGGACCTACTCCCATTTTCGCCCTTATACATGCTGCTACTATGGTAGTTGCGGGAATTTTTCTTGTGGCTCGACTTCTTCCTCTTGTTGTAGTTCTACCCAAAATAACAAATGCAATAAGGGTTCTTGTTTTTCTCTCTCTTGTTGTTTTTCCTTTCCTATTGTTGTATTATCTCTCCTTTAAGGTTCATGACCTCTTCAACCTCTGTTAGGCTTGATCTTTCTATTTTCACTAATTATGTCAATGTGTCTTTCTTTATTGACAAGTTAGATGAAAATAATTATAACACGGGGTCTTAGAATTGATTGTGTTTGTAACAAGTTTGGTACATATGATTTATATGCACTAACTTGAAGAGGAGTATTAGAAATAGCTAAATATATGGGCATAAACTCATATTTTTTTGTACCATGATATCTATACATATTTGTTTATCTGTTATGCATATCACACAGGGATTTAATTCATGTCTCTCTACCATTTACTTCAACAAAAGCAAATTGATTTGAAGAGGCTGCATACTGCATCAAAATTTTTGTCTCCTCATTTGTGCCACAAATTTGCTTCCCAAATGTTGTGGGTTATATACAAGTGCAGGTTGAAAACTGTTTTCTTTCCTATCATTAGTATTTTGAAAGTTTAATTAAACTATTTATAGAAGACAAGGAACCCACCTTTCCTTAGCAGTACTTCAGCAAACATGAGTTTGACAAAAAAACAAATAAGCTTAGAGCTGTTTGAGAAATGTTGTAGATTTTTTAAATTAGACACAAGGAATGGGAAAAGAGAAATTGGAGTGAGAAGAAGTGTTGAACTCTTTGTTAGGGTATTTTTTAGGACCGAATGGAAATCAGGTTGCAGTTGGGATAAGTGAAGGAATAGAGTAATTTTTCATATTTTTTCCACATCTCTATTGTCTTACCCCATTAAACATTCAAGCAGTAGATTAGTTCTTCATTACGTACTCATCCAAAGTTTCAAAGAATTGAATAAGAAATATATAACTACTCATCAAAGCAGCTGTCAGTCAACCCATCATCGAGGAACCAACACCTGCAATCTGTCATCTGTGGCAGGTCTGTTATGAAGTGAATCTGTTGTGAGCTGTCCATCGTAAACTCATGTTGTATTTTAAACTAACATTCTGTTTGTGTTCTGTTATTTCAATTTCAAACCTCTTGTGTTCTTCTAATTTTTTAATTATTGGTTCTTGGTTCAATTGGTTTCCTCAAGCTTATTTTAAGTTATCCCCATCAAAGTAGTGTTTGGATACTATAATACGTTTTTAAAATATGATTTTTGTATTATTAGGTAAACCTTATTATAGGAAGAACCCTTCTGGCGCAAGGGTACAATAGTTTCTTTATTTTTGTATTAGGTAAACTGCTATCAGATGAGTTTACACTTTACAGGCACTTCATGAGTTTTGGGTGGATTCTGGAGTTTGAAAACCTAGACAATGAGTGATGGGATGCAGATCTAGAAGATATTATGCAGTCTTTCAACTGCTTTCTTTATCTCTGAAGTTACACTGTTGTTGGGAGTGGGATATTGAGCTGTCTTGCGAAGTTCAGTTATTCATAATTCGAACGATCTCATGAGACTTCACCCAAGTATTTTAAACAAATGAGTTTTAAGCAAGACGAATTGATCTCCTTGCATACAATTGTAAACACACATCATGACTTCATGAGCTAATTCCCAAGTTTCATGAACACCACAACAGCTATGTCCTAGCATGAACAATTCCATAACAGCTATATCTCAGGCTCCTAGTTTGAGTGAACGTCTCACTGTTTCTGCCACCAACCTAGTGGTTAATCCATTTTAATTCATCATGACTGAACCCATCATATCATAGTGTCCCAAGGTGAACAAGCTGAATCAAGCATCGATGAGTTGAACCTAGCATCCACCATCATATAAGTAATTCTGAACCTTGGAAAGAATTTGTTATGTTCTGTTTGTCTCCCTTGCTATTATCTTATGTTGTAATTTGTGAATTTATCCGATCAGTTTGAATTTGATATCTTCTGTTTGGGTATATCAACACATCTTTTGATCTTTGAATTATTGGTTCATGGTTTCTTTGTACTCTAAGCTGTTTATTCTACAAATCTCTGAAATTGGTGGTATTAGATTAATTTTTGGATACTATCATAACATTTTTAATGTTGTTACTGTTTTAGGTGAATTCTTACAAGTTTTTTATGCCCCACAAATTTATGTAAACTCTCGAGTTCGAGAATATTGTTAGAAACATCTTTTCTTGTTATATTCCGTTATAGTGGGTTGGGCCTTATGAGTTTGTATTTTTGGTGCAGGCCATTGAAGAAAGCTTATTCATGTGACGACCACTGTTGATGTGGTACGTTGTATCTTTGGTGTAAATCCATGGTCTATTGCAACGGGATGAAGAGACAGGAAATCGGCCAGGAATTGTACAAGTTAACTTCTATGAATTTGTGGACTTGGCCTATTGCACGATCGTAGTATAGTGAAACCAATATGGGACATTATATAACCATTCCCTGGCTGACTTTCTTCACTGGCGATATGAATAGTGGATGATGGGAACCTGTCTGAATTAAATCACTTGTAGAAACCCACACAATGGGACATCTTGTTCGAAATTGGATGGTTTTTGCAGCTAAATAATTTGACTATGAATTATTTCTCTTGCTAAAAGAAAACTCGATAGTTAAGCAATTGTCGAGAAATCAGCTGCGCAATTAAACCACCTAAGAGTTTATGTTCATTGAAATGACCCATATAAGTTGGACAGATTCATCACATGGCATGTTGATAAATTCGATCATGCGAACTTCGATGTTGCCTACATTGGTGTATTTCATGATCCTCAAGGAATGGCAACAAGACTTTTCACGAAACTCGGGTCCGTAAATGCATGATGGCAAAACTCTAGAAACTTGTGAATTCCTAAATAGCAATAACAATTCAGCTTTTGGGGAATGGTTGTAGTTCATCACACCCATATACTATTGCGCAAGTTAGGAACCATTGGTGAGATAAGGAGTAGGACCATAATAAAATTAAGACTAAATTTATCAATATCTCTGATTTTTTTTTCAAAATACAGATTTTTTGTTTTTAGAAATTATAAAAATCTCTTTTTCGTTTTAAAATATTACGTTATCACTTTTTTTACTTTATACATTCCCAAGTGTTAAAATTATTATATTTATATCTCCAAAAAATCAAGTCATTGTAATAGTAAAATAAAGTAGAAAGTGTAAATGTTAACGATAAAATCTTATTACTGTATTTTACTTTAAAATTAAACATTCTTATTCTTGATGTAATGTAATTAGGTTTTTAAGATAATAGTTTATCTAATACAATACTTTAATTAGTTTGTATATAAATATTCGAAATTAATTAATATCTAAAATATATGAATATTATTCTACGAAATAAAATTTAAATAAATAGAAAATTTTTAAATATACTACACTTCTCCATTTCAAATTAAAATGTATACTCATAACTATATTTTAGAGGTTTTTTTGGTTTTCACCCTTTTCTATGTATATTGTTTCCGGGAGATAACTTTTAGCCTGTCATTACCAATTTTACATTAAAAGATGAAATAATATTTTAAACACGTACAATTTACAAACTTTATGCAAATTTATTTGTTCATCAGCTTCAAACTTGACAGTAATAGTTCAAAATTTTTTGGCGATTATACTAAGAGTCATACAAAATAACAAATCACTCCTATAATTATTTTGTGAGTTTAGTTTAGTTTAAATTATTCCTAATATTAATGAGATGTATTTCAATTTTAAAATATTTTTGTCAGTTTTAATTCCTCTGATCTTGTTCATTATTAATATGTTTATCACTTCCATCTTTATTGTCTTTGCATGTGAATCATCCAAATACATAAAATTAGACTTTTTAAACACTTCCGACATTAAAGCATTTCATTTACTATTTATTTATTGAAGTTAGAAAAAAAATCATAACTAAGAATACTTTACTTTCGAGAAAATAATTCATACAAGAGACATTTGAATTTACTCTTCTTATTAAGTTAACTTTTTAATTTAATTTTTTCAAAAAGAATGAGAGAGAAAGATTTTTTTTTAGGACAGAAAAGTATCAATTATTGAGTTTAATATTTAATACTAATTGATTCTCTCTACAAAAGTGAAAAATACACAATACGAATAGTATGAAGTAAAAAAAAAACTAGATATAATATTACATATATTAATTTAACTATTTTCCAATCAAATTTAATTTTTTATTTGTGTAATTTTTTTATTAACTATTAATATGTATTACTGAAATAAAATTCTAGTTCTAATTAAAGAATTAAACACATATAGTATATTTATTTATGGTATTCCATGTAAGTTTTATTCTGTTAAGAACAGAAGCAGAGGATAATAGTAGTGATGATGAGATTAATAAATTACACTAACCATTGTAGCAAAAAAGCAAAATTAGAGTAGAATTTGAGCAAAAGGCAATTATCTGAAACTTTTGTGAAGTTGTGTGTGAACGAAGTATAGAGAAAGTACTGAAGCAAGATCTTTCAAGTTGCCGGTGAAAATGAAAGTGACTGCATCCATCTAATCCAGCAACACTGTTTAATGTTGTGTTGTGTGTGTGAAAGTGACTTGTTTCCATCGACTTCATTAATACGTGTGCCTGTGGGCACCGACATCTCACATCACAGAGTTATGCCCTTCAATTCATTAACCTTTGTTTTCAAAACAATGTGGTCCAATCAAACCTTGCACTTCTCCTTTTTTTCTTTTCTGTGACTGTTCCCTTGCGTGCCAACCTCAAGTGTGAACGCAAAGAAAGAACTATCTTTCATCCTTGTACTATACTACCACCTTCACCCTGCCCCAACACCACGCGTCAACATCCCTGTCAACTATCATTTTAATATGCAAAGCCAACGTGTATGCCATGCGCTTCTTTTCTTCACACACACACACACTGTTTCTTCCATCCTTCCCTTCTATTCTTAATTCACAACAATACATCAATGTTTGACATTCATTTCCAAAGTGGTTTGTTAATCATGATTCTTGTTTATTTTTATATGCTATATAGTTTAATATACTTAGTTTATTTCTATAAAATGATAAACTTATGTGTCAAATAAAACTTAGTCAAGACTGTAACTACAAGGAGAATCTGCAGCTTCTGCATTACCGGTTGAAGCAAAGGACATTGCTACATAGTCATCAACAAACAATCTTCATGTGTACCATATACAAAAGTCTGATTCAACCATGGTAGCCCAGGACTTTGTACCAATGCATAACACTTTGCCAAACTAATGAAGTTGATGTCTGAATAAGTGTAATATACAACAAACATATAAACAAACATAGATGGATTCAGGGATAGAGAATATAAGGAGGTATTGACCACCATCACTTGGTCCAAGCAAAAACTGTTCTGTTTCTATGCTGGGTCTTTTCTTACAAACTAGGATCTTGGACAGTAAAAATGTTCTCTGGTTAAAGCATATAAAAATCCGAGCTACTGAGAGAATGGTTATAATTTAAGTATAAGCGCATGGACAGTTGGTGTGTTTCGCTTACTTCAGATATTAATGTAAAAGGTGCATTCAATCTGTTCCAAGTAAAGGGACGCTATAATATAACACTGAGAAATAAATGACAGAAGAATGATTTTATGAACTAAATAGTCTCTGGTTTAGATAGTTAAAGGAACTAGAATATTACAAGTCCCTGAATCTAATACATGAAACCTGGCACCGACGATTACAATTGATCACATAATTGAGGGAGGGGCGAATTTACCTTTTTAGATACAACCCCTACAACAAACGATGATGAGAGCCTTAATTGAATACTACAATCATGTCTAAATTTAAAAACAAGCAAAAGAATTAATTATACATACATAATCTCAACCTTCAATTTTCAATTCCAAATTCTAATCAGACAAAAGAAGTGCCAGCTAGTCCATGGTGCAAAAGGTTATGAGCAATTGCATCCCTAGCCTTCAAGGAGCTGACCGATCTCAAGGCAACCTCAGGCTCCACCACCACATCATCATCGTCATCAACATCATCATCGATCTTCAACAACTCAGGATCCATTTCCTCATTCTTCAATTCACATATGTTATGCAACACGCAACAAGCCCCAAGCACAAGAGGCAAATCTTGCAGCTTCACCTCAGTCCTCTTTTGCAAGCACCCCCACCTTCCTTTCAACTTCCCAAACGCATCCTTAGCTACCCTCCGAACCTCCCCAATCTTCTCATTGAAAGCGTGCTGTGTCCAAGTGAGATTCTGCTGCGTATAAGGCACCAAAACCCAATCCAACAGAGGGTACCCGGAACCCCCAACAACCCAAACCCCACTAAGATTAAGGCCCCCATTATTAGCCCTTTGAAAAAGTGCCGACTTTTCCAACACCTGATCATTACCCATTGAACCAGGCCATCCAATGCACACATCAGTGAAAACCCCTCTATGGTCAACAACACCCTGAACAGTCACAGAATATGAAGTCTTGTGGTTCCTCTCAGTGTGCCTCTTGTTGAAGTACGCAGACACGCTCATCTTAGGAGCTATGATGGGAACATGAGAAGTGAACATTGACCCCACAACGTTGGGGATCCCAGAAATGTTCTCAAACTCCCCCTTGATGTCCCTTAAGGTAACAGCATTAGGCCATTGCAAATACTTCGGCATAAGCACTCTCTTTATGGCAGTGCAAACCTCAAGAACCAGTTTGTGGCAAGTGGATATCCCCAAACCGAACCTTTTCGAAACCACGCTCAGAGGGTCACCAGTGGCCAACCGCCACAAACAAACTGCTACCCTTTGCTTCACTGGAATGGCGTTTCGCAGCGTGGTGTCTTCCTTCGCGATCACCGGATTCAGCTCCTCGCAAATCGCTTCGAAAGTCACCCTTCTCATTCTGAATGCTTTCCGGAACTCTTCTTCCGGAAATTCGGCTTTGTTACACTCCTCCCACCACGCCCCCGATCGCTCCTTCACCCAAACTCGACGGTGACTCACCGAGTCACCGCCGGCACCGGCAACTTTCTTTCTCTTTTTCGGCTTGGACTCTTCCACCTCACTGCAGTATCCATCGAGCATGCCCTTCTTTTTCTCGCGTTCTTCTTTTTCTTCTTCATTTTTCTCTTTTGCATCCACGAACAAGAGTGTTGTGAGGATGCCCTCCAGTTCTTTCTTCTTCTTCTTCTGGGTTGACCCCTCCTCGTTCTTCTTACGGCGTTTCCTCGTGGCTTCGTTCATAACAAACGAATTCACGATTCACGGGTCCCTGAGAGTAGTTGCGGGTTTTGCGCAGATAATAATGAACAGTGTTGTTGGCTTTGGCTTGGTGTACATACATCCAATACAACGATGCTACTTTTTCTGCCACGCTTTCTCTTTCCGACCATGCGTTTTTAATGTGGGATAAACCTCGGTGTGAACGGGTATTTGAAAACTTCCATAAATCACTTTCATTCGAATTTAATATTATGTTGTAGGTGGTGATTGAACCCGATTCAATCCTGTGAATGCTATCTTAATCAATTAACTAAGACGAACCTTAATCGTGTATGTGAAGGATACAAGAAAAGAAAATTTATACCAAGATTTAAATTTGTTCCACTTACGTTAGGGTGGTTTATGTTGTGTTCATACTCATCTAGATACTTACATTTGAATAATGTCTTTCTCATTAGTTTGATTTCAGTTTGAATGCAACATCTATCTATTATCAATTAAAAATTAGTCAAGATGTAATTTTTAAACGAATATCAAGAAAAAAAAGAGAGTTATTTCACTATAATAACTTGTACAGAACTACTGCGTGAAAAAAACGTTATTTACACTCTTTTTATACTTCAATATAAACAAATGTTTGAAGGACTTAAATATAAATAAATTTCAATTATTTTTATTTCATCTAATAATATTATTTTAAAAATATAATTATTTATAAACCTAAACATCATCCCAATAAATATAGTTAAGGATAATTTAGAAAATTTTATTACATAAAAATATTAATAAAATTAACTATTATTTTCAATTAATGTAAAAATAATTAATTTTACTTATATTTAAACACTGTACAAGTGAAAAATCTTAAACCAAACATATAATGCTTAAATTTTCTCATTTTGACTTTAGAGTGATTTAAAATTAAATTAAATTTAATGTACTGTTAGAAAGATGATGAATTTTGTGTGCAACGGTGAATTAATTAGGCTCTAAGTGTGAACAGATAGGAACATTTGTTTTTATATTAGATTGGAAATTGCTATTTGGCTTAGGCGGGGTTAGGTAAAGGATGTTCAAGATAATAAATAATCTTGTATTTTGGATTTTAGAAAAGAGGAAAAAAATATATCTTTATATAACTTTTTAATACTACTTTTGGTTACATATACTATCATCTAAAATTGTTGATGTTTAAGATTAGTGTATTTAATAAGTATAAAATATCAATATATCTAGTTTAAAATATTATTATTTAATATTTCCTAGATTTTTCTTAATTATACTTAATTATCTAATTTTCTAATGTTTAGGTATTGAATGATTGAAAATGAAAGAAAATAGAATAAATAAATTTTCTTCTTGTAAATGGTGGTTGCTTGGAGCAATGAAAATGAATAAAATTTGCAAAATAAGGATGGAAGTCGTAGTGTATGAATTAATACTTTGATCAAATAAGCTAAAGGAAAGAGTAACGTGCATATTTTTTTCTAAATTAAATTGTTACTTGATTCAAACCAATTAATCTAGAGCATAATCAATTTTGTATAACTTAATCGTTATTCATATCTGAATAACAATAAATTCAAATATCTTGTATTAACTGATTATATATGTTGAAAAACTATATAATAAATTATATGATCCATACATAATTATATAATATATTTATATATTTTAATTTATTATGAAATATGTCTATTTAAATTTAAAGAGTATTAGTTTAAAAGAAAATGTAAATATTATGTATCTTATAAAATACATAAGAAGGGCATATGATAATTTTTTTGTAAATATATTTTTTTTTCTTTACAATCAAACAATCTTAAATTTTATTTTCACTTCAATTTTTCTTCTATTTTTTTCTTTTATTTTTTTTCTTCTACCTACTTTCTCTCTTTCTATTCCTTTCTACCTCCATTTTTTCAAAACTACCATTTTTTATTTATACTATTTTTTTTATCAAATTGTTTTTGATACGATTTTTCTCTCTATTTTTAGTTAGGGGTATTTTAGTCCAGAAATAATATATACAAGTGTTATTAAAAAAAGGAATAAACACCATTTCTAATAATCAGTAAAAAATATAGTAGGTTAATATTTTGGCTAATGATAAGAATCCATCTATTGGGAAAAAAAGGGTGATGAAATTCAAGGAAGAAGAGAAGCAGATGAACAGAAATTGCCTAATCTGCTAGGTGGAGTGATAAAGACTGAGAAAACAGGACCTGAACCTCAAATGTGGATCCAGCACTGCTGAAACTCTACTGGTGTTGTGTCTGTTAAGGCATGCATGCATGCATGTTGAGATGTTCCATTGAGAGTCCCATCTTCACATGCTATAATTCAACAGTAGACACTACTTTTGACTGTTTCTCTCTCCAATTATACCTTGGAGAGAGGAAGAAGCAACCGAATGTGATCCAAATCATGGATATGGTCAAGCCTTAATTTCAGAAACACAAACAGAAAAGAAGGGTAAAAGAGAACCAAGGAAGAGTTCAATATGCATTTTCTTGGCATATTTGTCAACCTTGTTCAAGACTTTCATATTCTGTGAACATGTTGAACAACTCATACATATTCTTATAAAGAATAAAAGCAATAATAAAACGAAAGAAAATTATTACCTGTATGACAAGAGAAAGATACTTTCACACAGTCAGGTTTCATTGTATTTCTCAGCAAAGTTCAGTTTTCTTTTATGTATTGTTATTGTTAAAAAAACACCTTTAAAACATAAAAAAAGTCATCTTACAATATATATAGTGACACCTTGCAGCAAATTCCTTGTAGGGGTTTTATCCATCAATTAAAAGAAAATCCAAATATTTTTATTAATTGTTAATACATTTTATATGATCCAAATTTATATTTTTTACTGCTATGGCTCCACACTGTCTCAAACTCAGACTCTCAGACAATTTCACACACTTCAGAAGTTATGTTGTGATTATAAAACTAACTAATCATTGTAATGAAAAGCAGCTTTGGCTTAAAAAAGTATATATAATTAAAAAAAACGGTATTGCCTTATAAACCTAGTCAACAATCATGCAATTGGATTCGGAACAAGGTTGGCCCAGTTCCACTATCTCAGGGACATCCAAACAGCTTTTCTTAAAGAACATTTAACTATCCTCAACAAAACATGTTACTCGTGCAACTGCAGAATTGAGTTTTACTATTTTAAATACAGCACCGGCTTTATATTAAAACATAATCATACTCATTAATGACACATAGTTGCAAGTTTTCAATCAGCTTCTTTTTATTTTTATTTTTTTTTAAATTGAAATATTTGAATTATATTCTTCTCATACAGTGACGGAAGAGACAAAAATAATTCATCACTTTATTTTTTTCAACTCAATTTGATACATAAATTCAATTATTTATTAATAACGTGCATCTAATAAATTAATACGAATTTTGAAGTTTAAATATATATTGAAATAACAAATAATGAACTAAAAGGTTATATTTATTATTATTATTATTATTATAATAGCATACAATGTATTGTCACATCTTCTAGTTTTGCACCGTAACGATAAATTTATTGGACTTGATTCTTTTTTAGTGGTACTAATAAATAAATGTCTTAATAGTTTTAAAAATAAATTCACATCTAAAAGATGGATTTAAACATAATTTGACGTGAACATAACGAAACATTGATCTGACAATGAGGTGTTCGCATTTTACAATTTACTCCCTAAATATTTTTATGTTGTTTACGTACTTACACACTTTGTTTATGTGGTAGATATTAAAAGATTTTTAGTTTAGGGTTTGCAAGTAAAATATAAATATATGAACTAAAATGAAAAATAAAAATACGTGAATATGAATAAAAAAGAAAAATTCACAAACCGGTGGTGCTATATTCTCTGGAGTGTGGTAAAAGAGTAAAATTGAAGGGGCAAAAAGGGAGGTTTGGTTATTTCCATTTGGAGTTGGTGAAGGGTTGGTCAACGCGATGCCAAAATTAAAGAGAAAACGAACGGTGAAGGGAGAGAAATGGGAGAAGTTAGGTTGGTTGGGGTTTCATGTTCAGAGGAGGGAGTGTTGTGTGCTCCATCATTTACCTTGTTCTTTCCTCAACGTCTATACCTTCTTCGTTTCTGGTGGACACAACCGGTGGCGGCACCCTCCTTAACCTAAAATCATGTCCCTTCAAAACGTAAGTGCCGCCCCACCGCCGAACATCACAATGGTGGCCGTTGACAAAGACAAGAACAGTGCCTACGCTTTTCGTTGGGCCGTTAATCATCTTGACAACCCCGTCATCATTGCCGTCCATGTCAAGCACAAAAACTTTTCTCATCGTAGCTACCCTCTTATTCATGCATATCATATATACAATATATTTGTGCTCACATAACATGTATTATCGTCATTCGTATTGACCTTAGGTAGTTTGTGTTTCTTATTTTTATTGATGTTACGTGTGCATGCATGCAGATGTCACCAATGTGTTTCCACCGGACGAAGAAGATGTAGCCAATATTTTTAATAACTTGCGAGGAATGTGTAATCGCAAAGCTGTATGAATTAATTTCATGAGATTTTCGCTTATGGACATTTAAATAATATCTTACTTGAAACATGCAATTACAGAACTGATTTGGCGCATTCAGGTGACGATGAAAGAAGCCGTAATCGATGATGCCGATGTTGTGAGAGGACTTCTAGAGTTTGCAAACAGGAATCTCATACATACTATCGTCGTCGGTGCATCCGTCAAAAACCCTTTGTCAAGGTCTCGCTAATTTTCTACATGTTCCTGTATATCTTTATTACCTTTGCATATATATTTTTTTCTAACGAATATGGTTCACAATGTTGTGGAATGCAGTCTAAAAAAATTTAAACCCTATCAGTATCAGGATATACCAACAGCCATGATGAAATCAGCCCCAGATTACTGCTCTGTGTACGTAATTTCCAAATTGAAGATTATGTCTGCTCGATCAGCGGTACGGTCATTGTCAAAAACTCTTGCCTTACCGAAATCAGGTTCTCTGCTGGCAAGTCCACCTACTGAACCAGAAGGTGGACCAGTAAGGTGCCACGAATGAAGTTATTTATCTAGCAACTTGATATCTATATTATATATGTCTTTTGTTGAGATTACCAGTTAAAGGTTGTGCAACTCAATTGTTTTTAATTTAATAATTTTGGTTTGGGTACTTGCAAATATAGGGGACAGCCACCTAGAAGTCGGGGCAATTACGAAGGAGCAGCAGAACCAAAGGTAAGAGATAGGCCAAGGAGTGCGGGAAGTAGTATGTCAATAGAAAACATTGATATAAACACTCGTCCACGACATTGGTCAATGGATGATAGAGAAATTTCAGGGATTGTGGATGTGAGTAAACTTGATCCTGGAGTATCAGATTCCTTCGGGATGACATCTCCTCAATCCTCGGTAAGTGTAAAAGAAAAAGGTTATTGCATATGACCAAGTTGGATTCTGAATTGAACTGACTTTGTTGTGAAACGATGAGAACCATTCTTTGTCAGAATAAAGATGATTAGATTTAAGAACTTAATAGTCTGAGTATTTAATTTATTTCATCACAGAAAGAACTTGAAGCTGAGATGAAAAGATTGAGGCTTGAACTGAAGCAAACTATGGACATGTACAGCTCAGCTTGCAAGCAAGCAATCTCAGCCAAAAACCAGGTCATGTTTAATTATGCAATATCTATAGGAAAGTATGATGGGAGCGACCCTTAAACTTTTTAAAAAAATACCACTAGAGGGATCTTCTACTTCGTGACAAACATTCACTGATAAGAATTTTCATCATTAACCATGATGCTCCATATATAGTCAGAGGAAGTCAGTGGAGAAGGTTGTTCTGGTTTTAACTGTCGAAGGTTTTATATCAAACGAAAAATCATGAATTGACTTGTATGTGTGATTGGTTAACTAACAGGCGGAAGAGATTCGTCAATGGAAACGGGAAGAGGATCGCAAGGTTGAGGAAGCGAGGTTGTCTGAAGAGGCAGCTCTTGCAATTGCGGAAAAGGAGAAGGCTAAAGCCAAAGCTGCAATGGAAGCAGCTGAGGAGGCCAGGAAAAGGGCTGAACAGGAAGCACAGAGAAGAAAGGATGCAGAGATGAAGGCCAGGAGAGAGGCAGAAGAGAAAGAACGAGCATTATCTGCGTTGGCTCAAAATGATACCCGGTATAGAAAATACACCATAGAGGAGATTGAAATAGCAACAGAAAAGTTCTCCCCATCAAACAAAATTGGCGAAGGTGGATATGGACCAGTGTTTAAAGGCCACCTTGATCACACCCCGGTTGCAATCAAAATTCTAAGGCCTGATGCTTCTCAGGGCATGAAGCAGTTCCAACAAGAGGTAATGATACTGTTTTTCACTCCTATATATAAATATGACTATTAATGTTTTTCCAAAACTTCCTGGCATAATAATGCTGTTGAATCTACTATGCACCATAAAATGGCTAGTAACTATTTTTGCATATTCTAATGCCACTTCCCTATTCAATTCTGACCAGTGCTAACTTTGTCCTTTTGTGAAGTTTCAATAGCAGAATAAGAAAGGAAAATTTTAATAGAAAATAGAAGTGATCATGACATCTTATTAAGTATTAGATGTTGGGTCTCAGAATATGATATAAAAAATATCTATTTGAAGAGGTCAATCCTTAAATGAATTTCAACGTCTCATCTTTAGACCCACTAAGGATATCCTGGATTCACCCGACAAAGAAATATAAAAGCTAGTTTAATCTTATTTTCAATTAGTTAGAAGCATTTAATAGTGTATGTGAGGAGGGCCCATAAACTTTTCTTCAAGACACCGTAAATGCAATAATATGTTTATAACAATGTATACTTTTTCCCAATTAATCACATGCACAGATTGAGGTACTAAGCTGCATTAGACATCCGAATATGGTCCTTCTCCTTGGTGCATGTCCTGAGCATGGATGCTTGGTGTATGAATACCTGGATAATGGTAGCTTAGAAGATAGATTGTTCCGGAAAAACAACAGCAGGCCAATTTCATGGAGGAAACGGTTCCAAATATGTGCTGAGATTGCAACTGCACTCCTTTTCCTTCACCAAAACAAGCCAGAACCTATTGTGCACCGAGACCTCAAACCATCCAACATTCTTGTGGACAGGAATTACGTGAGTAAAATCAGTGATGTTGGTCTTGCACGTTTAGTCCCTCCTTCTGTAGCTGATAGTGTGACACAATATTACATGACTTCGGCTGCTGGAACCTTTTGTTACATTGATCCTGAGTATCAACAAACGGGAATGCTAACAACAAAGTCAGATATATATTCCCTGGGGATAATGCTACTCCAGATAATCACAGCCAAGCCTCCCATGGGCCTTGCTCACCAAGTTAGGAAGGCAATTGAAAAGGGCAGGTTTGAAGAAATGCTGGACCCTGTGATCACAGATTGGCCAGTGGAAGAGGCTCTATCATATGCCAAATTAGCATTGCAGTGTGCCGAACTTAGCAAGAAGGACAGACCAAATCTTGCAACAGAAGTTTTGCCAGAGCTTTACAGATTAAGCGAACTTGAATTTACTCCACAGAATGATCGAGTTTCTCTTGGCACTGATGATACGCTCTACAGCTATGACACGCGTCCTCTCACACCCCCACAAAGTCAATACTCAGACTGAGAGGCGTCCTCTAGGATCTAGGTTCGTGCATTGACTCACACGTCATTTACTAAACAATCAAAATCCAATCCATGCAATTCAAATCATTCAAGTGTCTGCAACTGAAAGGAGCTAAACTCAACCCATCAATATAACTTCTAGAATATTTTCATGTTGTAATTATTTTTTTGTTTCTTGACAGTTGTAATTATTGATATGGTTTCCACCAACTAGGAAGTAATATATGGTGTTGGGGAATATTAATAAGAGAACACATAACTTGTGTGAGTTGGCAATAAAGCAGGTCTATCCAGTGAATTCTATTTCAATTTCTTTTCACAAACACTTATCTTCGGGAGGTTCGATCATGTGTTTGTATAATCCCACGCTTTACATTATACTCATCTTCATAAGAATTTGCAAGAACTTTAAGCAAAAAGGAGGCTCAGAATTTCCTCTTGCAAAGCAAAGTATAATAAGATCAACATACAGTGAGATGGATTATGTTTGGAGATTGGTATAAGAAAAAGAGAGAGATTGCTAAAAAAGCATTGCTTTAGATTCCCTTACCGTGAAAGTAAAAAGGTGTAAATTATATTGTCCAAAGTCCTAACTACAAAATAACGTAATAAATTATGATATATATGGGTCCTCTTATCCTCTGATTATACTCAAGATATCTAAATATGAAATGGTAACTCCAAATGCAACAAGGAGATCCAGTAGGCGACAAATATGAAGTCAAGATTGATTGCACTTTTGAACAATTTTGTCTTCTTGGCGGTGGAGGATTCAAAAAATTGTGGACTTTAGACTCAGATTTTATCATGATGTCGGGTTCCTAGTTGTCCGGATCAAAATATAAACAAGAGTATTATTGATCAATGTAATGTCAACATACAAATATAATTTATTTTGTGCTAAGAAGGGCACTTAGAGCATCAACAGTGACTGGAATAGTGTCTCTTTTATCCTTTTATAAATGTTAGATCTATTAATAATAATATAATATAGTTAAGTTTAATTTAATTGATATTTTCAGTTCTTAACCTGAACAAGTCTTTAGATGACATAGAAAGGAAGCATCAAGAAAGATTCTGAAATCAAGCTTCCCCAAAAGCTCATTCTCATTACAGGAAGTAGCCACCTTTGTTAGTTCTCCAAGTTACCTGATTTTTCATACTCTGCACTACTTTCCTCATCACAAAAAAAAATCACCACCACCACCTCTACCTACACTATCAACATACCTTCTCATTTTCTCCGAGCTCCTCCCACTTCAGTCCAAATGAGCCACACCAACCACTCAGGGTTCATCACAGAAAACCTGTTTTCATGGATCTTAACGGCTTCATTCATCGTACTTGCTTTGTTTGCCCGGGTGACAATGGAGGACAAAGTAGAAGGTCCCTCAAGTGACCTTTTCTGCATCACCGACTGTTCCACATGCCCTGCAATATGTTCACCCCCTCCTCCAACACTGATCATAACAACATCACATCCTCCACCCTCTCCTTCACCTCCACATTCTCCTTCATCACTACCTTATAGTTCTTATTTGTCACCACCACCCCTTCCCAAGCCTAAACTAGGACCACCTCCACCACTGTCATATTCTCCAGGCGTTCCTCCCCCACCCGCTCCTTTCAAGTCCTACAACACGCCACCTTCAGGTTTGGGACAGCCACAACCTACGGTGGTCTCAGGGCCGCATGACTTTTCCTATCCCTATTACTATTTCTACGCTTCTGCTGCTTCTTCACCTTCTATGCATGCACCTTTTTGTGTCGTGTTATTCTTCCTATTCAATTGTTTTATAGAATAAGGTGAAATGTCTTGTTTGGTCTCTTGTACATGTACTAATGAAAGTAGCATGCAAATGCATTGTTTTTGTTTGTTTGTTTTTGTATTGTATACTCTTCTAGTGCAATAATCAAAATATATTAAAGTTTCCTCTCTTCTCGTATCCTTTTTTCTCGTTTGTCCCATGTTTGGTTCTGCTGGAGAAGTCAAAACCCTGTTCTAAGCATTTTAGTGGGTTCTTAATGTTTCTTTCCTAATGAAAGTAATTGCTTCATGCTTACTATAATATACATTAGACACATTCTGATTGAGGTTAAAATTGAGGTATGGTTCGGGGTTTGGTTTGGAAAATCCAAAATCACAGTAACTTATGGGCCGTAAGGAATGGCCTTGTTTTTCTCCAAATTTTGTTTCAGGTTGACATGGGTTGGGCCTCATTCTGGCCACATTAAATTTTGTTGGGCACTTTCTTCCTACGTCTTCTTAGTTTTTTTCATCTATATCTATAATTAAATTAAATCCTATTTCATCCTTATATCTATCTTCATCTTCTTAAGTCTTTATTTATTTCTAGTTTTTGAACATTTGAATGTCTGATTTTCAAATCTTATTAAAATATTTTTCATCTTTCTTCTCCTATTATTCCAATAATTACAAGATAAGAATCTCAAAATATTTTTAATTTGTATCAATTTTTTACAATATACAGTATTGGAGGATTGGAAATACAGTTCTGAATTTTTTTTTCTAGAAAGGGGGTTCCGAAATAGATTTCTGAAATTGATTTTCTAAAAATGTATTTCAAATTAATAGCTGTGGAATATATTACAAGTGTAGTTTGGACCTACTAAAATGTATTTTTCAAAAATAAATTATGGGAATGTACTCTAGAACTTATACTTTTTGAAATGTTTTTAGAATTTTTTTTTCATGATGTATTTTCATATTAATTTTTTTAAAACTCAATCTGATTTTCGTAAAAAAAACGAGTAATTTGAGTCTCAATATATAATTTAAAAATATATAATAAATATATAATATTAACGATTAGTCACTTGTAGGTGCTGGAAACAATTTTAAATGAAGATGATAACATAAGAAATAAATCTACGTACCCACGAAGGCACAAACAATAAAAGAAAAGATTAAAATTTAAAACATAAATTATTAAAAGAGTATTTTACTTATTTTATTTCTTATTCGAAGGTGCAAGGAGAAATGATGGAGTAAGCGTTTTGTCCCTAATTTTTTTTTACTTACTTTATTTTTTAGATTTTGCACTCAATGAATGAAACTTTTTAGATTAGAGTAATATATATGGTAATTAAATAGTGAATAATAAAAACATGTGGCATCAATCTTTTAAGTGTTTGCAAGAAGTATGTAAAATTAATCAGTACGTGGAGAAATAACAAACGCTATTTCCTTTGAATGACAATTATGTTCTTCAATTTAGACCTTTCAAAAATATGTGAATGTTCTTCATTCTACCTACAACATAATTGATGGTTTATACAAGCAAATCAAACATATAAAAGATGTACATTGAGTTTAATAAAATACTATAAAACATTTTTACACATAAACTACAAAAGTAATAGTTTGGATGACTTTTCAAATATTTGTCTTTTTAAGATATTGTGTACATTAATTAATGCATATTTAGTTTAATATATTCATAAATTCTCAACCATTAACTCTTTTTTGAAACGAAAAATTAACAAATTTATTATAAGTGTAAGTATAGAAGTCTTTTCAAATTGATGATAGAATAATTAGTGAAAAGTATATTTTTCTCCCTGGCCTCTCCCTTTTCTTTTTGCTTTTAGCAGCATGAGTTGATGGATGTAGCATGTTGTGTTAAGGTTAATGGTGAAATTTGTGGAATTAATTAATTAATTAATTAAACCCACCTACTTTCATAACCCTCTCTCAAACAAGGACCACTCTAGTAACAGACTCTAACAAATCCATTCCTCAAAATGAAACCTTTAATTCAAATTTTTTATTCTTGCCATAGAAAACCTAAAGAAACCCTTAAGAAATATATGCCCTATAACTCCATATATTCTCAGCATTGTATATTTGCAACGGGTACACCTTATACTGCATTGTATTTACCTTTACAGAGGGTGCATGTGAAGCATGAAATTCTTTTCCTTCAAATTAATAATGCAAAAATTATCTTACAAATGGATCAAACTTAATATTATAAAATCCTTATATCATTACTGTTACTTCTCGAATCAAAATGATGACTTTTTTTCCTTTTTTCTGTACTAAATAACCTCCATTGCATACAGATATTAATTATAGATTTATCACATATCATTATAAAATTTTGAGAACTTCTTGATAAGAATATAATTAGTTCTGACTTATAGTAATTCAATTATATTGCTTTGAGCTTCTTATACGTATATTTTGTTTGAGTCAGAAAAAAAACATGTATTTTGTTTTCTGTTGTAAAGTTAATGGAAGCTTTCATTTGGTTCAACGTAAAAAAAAAAATATTATCCTTTCATGTTTATTTTACAACATAACAGTGCAATGGCTACCCAATACACAACCAAACACAAGTTAAGAAATAGTGAAATTTTGGTGGCAATAATCCTTATACTTTATCTAATTAAATTATTTTCTTTCGTTTTCGGGTGGTGGAAGGTGGGGTATGGATTGGGACCATTCCATGCATTTTTCTCCATATTTCACAGTATACAAATTTATAACATTTTTGTTATTGTTTTGTTTTATTTTTTTCTTCCTTGTTTAATATTTCGATCAATCAAATTGATCTTTCTGAAATTGAGAAGTGAAACCCATAATTTATTTAGATTTTAATAGGTAGTTTTTACCCTGTCAATAATATTCAGAAACTATTTGCATACAATTTTTTTAAGATAACTATGGTAAATTTTTCATAGTTTGCTCTTACGTAGCTGTGAATTTCTTTTACATTGTGATTATAATTGGGGAAATTGAAATTTTCATACATCTTTCGCTATTTTATTAATTTCAAAGACGAAAAATAATTTTGAATATGCTTGAAAATTTGGTTATCTGGTCAAGATCATGTGAGATGCAAGATGAGACTGCCATGGAAATTTCTTTTAGTGAATTTTTCAAGTGTGTTTTTGCTAATGATTTTTCAAGCATTCAATCCTTGGAAAAGAAAGATTATGAATGGATATGGTAAGAGTGAAAAATAAAGCAATAACATTACAAAGTTAAAATTGGTGAATGTAAACATCAAATCTTGATTATAGTCATAAAAGCTTGTTCTCGCTTTTCACTGTCAATTATCACTAATCTTACACAATTGAAGATTGTATGCGTAAATTAGTTAACGAGAATTGATTTCATTTAATTAAGGGTTTCCGTGGAATCTCTCAGATTGATCCAAACTTGGAACTCCTAATATTGGCTGGTTAACCCAAACCCCCTTCATAATTGGTACCAATCTGATGCCAATTTAAGTTGAACAACTGCATCAAATATACAAAAACATTTATCAAAATCAAACAATGCATAGATCAGGCTCTTTCTTCCCTTTCTCACTACAAAGAAAACGTGTTTCTATCGCACAGTATGATACGTATCCATAGTATATACCAGCAAGATTGTCACAACCTGAAACTGCGAAACTTACATTTTAGCAAACCCTAGAGTTTATACAAAGAGAAAACAATATATACATATAGTTTTGACTTTCTATTTCCTTTCACAAGGGAAAAAAAAGAGGAATTTCCTCTCCATAACACCAGCATGGCTGTTTTGTTTTTTATTAGTAAAAGAAATTTTATTAATGGAAGTATAAAGATACCCCTTCTCTTACATCAAGTTACTTTGTCCTGCTACTTTGATAAATCAAATTAAAGCTAATGGGATAGGAAATCAATAAATATATCAGAAAGAAATTCCTCCCAGTCTAGCTTGTTTCCAAGTCCATGATATTTTCTGAACTCCAACATCTTTTCGAGATCCAAAACTTTCCTACTCAGATTGGCTGAGTTACAAAAGAATTAATTAATTCGTGACCAGTGTGTTAGTGAAGCTCAAATCAGAATGCAGTCTGCTCTAAAGGACAACGAAATTACAGAAAATCGGTTAATTTTTTTAACCTTGAAAATCTAAAAACCCTAAAGATAAGGGATATATAAATACTTTTCCATATATACTGACTTGAGATACATCTTCCGTTGTCTCTTTTAGATCGATGGATGGTGTGTGTGTATATATATATATATATATATACCCAAAGAAATGTCATCAATGAAAAACCACGTTTCTTGACTGTCTGAATTAAATCAAAAGACGAGCTAGGTTTTCCAGATGCTTTTAATTAATTAACCATCATTGCTCGGTCTCTTATTCATCATAACAGTATATACTGAGAATAACAACATTGATCAATCAATTAGAGTTAGAGAATTATAATTGTTAAAATAGATTCTGTATCCAAGCACATGTCTGCCTCGGAGACAGGTGTTAAATAAGCTTTTGATGAAGTAGCTAGGTACTGGGGGTCAGCATCGTAAGAAGCAGGAGCTAATTAAGAACAATCTGAGAAACGCACATACCTGGAATATGTATCAGATCGATGTTATGTAAATATTATTTGGCTGATAGTGAGGTCCCAATAGCTGCAACTTAGGGTTAGTCTAACCACCAAAAGGGAAAGGAAGAAAATATATAAACAAAGAAGCAAGTATATAGAAATAGAAAATGAAAAGGGTAGAGAGATGGTGGTGGGTGACAGATAGAGGGTGAGCACGCATAGCTTCAAGCATGAGTCGTTATCTTGCAAGAAAATACCATGTGTGCTCACTCTCTTCTGTCACCTCCCTTACCCTTTGACTTCTGCAGAATCTATATGAAAATTTGATGTGGAATTGAGTGGCTCCTCCACCTTAAACTCATTTCCAAACGGATAAGAAAGGTTATGAGGAGACAAACAATTAACCTTGTTTCCTCTATATTTAACAAAAAAGCTGTTACATTTGAATATATATGGAGGAAGAA